ATAGAATAGAACAAAAGGTGGATTCTGAAAGTCCTCAATAAAACCGCCTTTTGAAGGTTACATTTGTCACAGTTGAAGAAAGGAAATTGATTCTAGGTAACTCACGTTAACTGATTGGATCCGGAATAAACGTCCGTGAGGATCTCGTATTAAAAGACGAGCTGCAGAAGTTGAAATCAATAAGCGTCGCCGAGACGGTGAAAGAAACCTCGTTCTTAAGGGTTTTCAGATTGTAAAAGTTCGGAGCAAAACAATCCCCAAACCACTCTGAGTGGTAAAAGAAAGTTCTCCACAGACTTAAAGGTATGCTATACAAATACTCGCAGCCTACTAAATAAAATGGCAGAGCTCAAGTCAATGGTAGATAAAAAAACCGGATGTTATTGCTGTCTCGGAAACTTGGTTAACGTCAGAAGTATTAGACAATAAAATTCACGTGACTGATATTTTAACCAGTAGGACTGATAAATTAAACCGTAGGGGAGGCGGGGTTATCCTGTACACGAAAAGTACCATAACCATAAGAGTAGCTGAGACATTGGCACATGTTTCAGGATCGTGTGAACTGGTGCGATGTAAGCTGAAATGTAGACGGCAAGATATTGAATTAGTTGTAGTATATCGCAGTCCAGAATGTGTAGCAGATGATTTTCTCCTAGGTAAACTTAAGTCCTGGTGTAACAAGGGTAAAAGTGTTGTAGTAGGTGACTTTAAACACACGTCCTGATTTCCAGTGCTAACCACTATCCATCTTTGCCTAAAGAGCCTGTGAATTAAATCAACATAGAGGCAATACACACAGTATGCACGTATGCCAATAAGAGACTGATCAATTACACTCCTAAACATCAATTGGAAGATTCAAGTAAACAATACCAAGTGAATTACTTAAGTAAGATAGTTAATTATATGTTGTAAACAAATGGATAAGAAGAACTAAACAGTAACAACGAAAATATTCATCATATTTAACTATATTTCAACCATATGGAATTCATAATTTGACAAGTAGTATTTGTTTCTAATAATTATTCATTAGATAAAGTAAACGAGTGAAATGATGAACAATTAAATGGGTAAGCAAAAGATAGATAGTAACTAGCAATGAATGTACATATTGCCAACAAGAGACTAATCAATTGTAGGCCTTAATAACAATTGGAAAGATACAAGCAAACAATAGGTATGTGAATACTAACTGAGTTATAGAATCAGTTCATCACATACATATAATAATTGTGTTCATTTAACCTATTGATATTACAGGTAGTATGTTTAATGAATCAAATTGTGTAGATATGAAATGAACACATGATGATTCAATGAGATTAAAGTTTTTTTTACCTGGGATTTATACATTAAATAAATTAGAATAGTTGCTATGGTCTGTGATAAGTGTTGCTAATTGAACGCTATATTCGGTTCCTAAGCTATTCTTGTAACCCCACCCCCCAAAGCTAGAACTACACAGTGATCTGAACACGAGAGAAAAGGTGTAAAATATGCGAGAAGCACTTTACTTCAAAAGTTCCTTTTAGTACAGAAAATATAGTATTTTAGATATTCTTGGGTTTCTCGAAAATTCTAGAATGCTAATAAACATAGCAGCAGGATAATAATAAGCTAATCAGAAACTCCACATGTGACTTCTCACTTTATCAGAAGGGGTTCGTGGAGATTTTAGAAATTTTCACAGATTGAAATCATGAGTCAGTTGAAGCTAGACCACCATGGAAAACCTGGAAGCACTGGACGGCCGTTTCGTCCTAGTATAGGACTCCTCAGCAGTGCGCATCCACGAACCCGCAACCCGCGAGATTCGAACCCAGGACCTACTGGCTTCGCTTTCTTAATGTTTCGGGCTAAACTTCAAGTGAACGCTGATTGGATAAAATACTTCTTAGTGTTTCTTGAGTCTTTCTTGGCTTTTGCGAGAAGTTTTCTGGATCATCCCAACAGATCTAAATAAATTAATGAATTCTATGACTGAATATGTTTAAACAACTGATGATAACCAAAAAACAAAAAGCAATAATAGTTTTTGCATCATAATCTGAGACCCTTTAAAAGTGCCTATCCACAACCCAACTCAGTAGCTTAGAGTCTTGGCATAAGCGTTAACAATTTAGATTACTGAGTTGATATCTAATTGTTTAAATTCTAATGTCATTCAGTTCAAGACCTTCAGTGAACAGAGTATATTAACATTAATAATATTTATTTGACATCCAGGATATTTGAACTTCAATGTACGTGGCTTCTAAATTGAGGAATTAACTTTCAAAGTTATTCATTACTAAGCATATGAGAATATCGTTTGTCAGCTGTCTTATTTTTCAGTTCAATTTGTAAAGTGTTAATATAATAAACGACTAAATACAATAACTCGCGAAGTGGGATTGTGGATGCGCACTGCTGAGGAGTCCCACAACAGGATGAAACAACCGTCCAGTGCTTCCATGTTTTCCATGGTGATCTAACTTCAATTGAATCATGATTT